GGAAAGGATCTGTAATTGTGCTGTATTTTATATTTAGCTGCATGTCCAAATGACTGGGTAATGCATTTGAGAGGTTCATTCCATCATATTCCTTTTGGAAGAGTAGTTATTTACTCTGTTTTGAGGCCCTCATCATGTAAGCTTAATTTCTGAAGGTGTTCTTATGCTTGTCAATATTGGTATTTCTCAGTAAGTGCTGGAAATAATTACTGTGTTTATGACACATCCTGCTTATAATATGCCTTTTTTTAACAGGGTCACAGAATATTTAACCACCAGAATTGCATAGTCTCTCCACTAAATATGGACACAGCTGGAAATGGAATTTCAATTTCAAGTTACAACTCTAATATATGGTACATACAGAGTTCTGTGAAATTCTTCCAACCAACCTTGAACCCATGGCAACTTAGCATTGGTTTGAAGTTTATTGTAATCATAAACCTGTGGCAGTAAGGTCTGCAAACCTAAGTGACCAGTTCTGTGTGTCATTGGTACAGGTTCCAAATCTCCAACACATAAAAAATCCTGTCTCTTTTGTTTGGCCTATTTCTTGGTCTCTCTGTGTGCTACACTGTAAGGCCCTGATCTTAGTGGTGATAAGCTCCTGCAGTTCCAACTGAAATCTTACATTATTTAGGCCCGTAGAATGCTCCCAGGGCAGCAGTTAAAGTAGACTGAAGGGGGACCTCTCACTGCACCAACTGAGCACAAAGGGAACTTAGAGGCACTGCTTACCCAAACCAGGGAGAGGAGGGAGCATGTCCCTCTGATTTTAGCCAATGAGGGAAAGTTACACTCCCCATCTCCCCTTTATTTTAAACCCCTGCTCCAGAAGCATCCAGGAAGACGTTGAAGGATGTCACCTACCACTGTCATTTGGAAAGGAGGTATACACTTCCCAAGCATTGGCCCTGGTCTCCCTCACTGTGAAGAAGGCAGCGGGACCATGGTTTTGCCCATCCACATCCCACTGGGAATGTCTACCTTCAGTGGCAGTACGATGCCTCTCCAGGATTCTGGCTGCCCCCTGCACATCTATGGCCAGGGGCTGAAATAAGGAGAGAGTCCTCCTTCTTCCCACCCTGGAGTCCTCACTAAGGGATGGCCAAAATCTGACTCATTCACTTTTCCCTATTATTACTATTACAATCTGTGTAATATTTAAGTATCTATCTCTTAATAAGAAAACTATATAAAATAAAGAGGATTGCTTTGAAAATACCATACGCTCATGCAGCTGCTTGATGTTCCAAAGCTGAAATAGCAATCAGCACTTTTTTGAAATCCACACTTATAAACATGGTTTTTTTTAAAGTCCCAAAAGGCAGTGGCAGCTCACAGCTTCAGCTGAGGGAGTCCTATATCCTTGACCAGATCAGTAGGTGAGAGCTGATGCCACTGGATAACAGATCTTTAATCAGCAAAATTGTAACAAGCAGACTACAAACAACTACATTGTTACAGTTTCGCACATAGAGTGTCTTCCATCTTAGGACCTCAAATTTTTTCAAACATAGGACAGCCTCACAACAGCCCTGCAAAATAGGTAAGAATCATGAACTCTATTTACAGATAAGGTTCAATGGCTTGCTCAGGGTCACTCAGGAGCCTTGTGGCAGCATAAGGAATAAAGTCCTGGGCTGACTGACTCTCAGCACATCACGTGACCTCTCCAAACCAGTCTGCAAAGTCAGTGCCTTTCCTACTTCAAATCTCTCTCCAAACTTCTACCATGATGCCTGCAGGAAACTAAGAACTGATAATTCTAGTTGGAGGGCTAGCTATCGCTGCCATTCATTTACTTTCAAATATAAATGTAATGGATTTGGAATCATCAATTTGTGCACCTAGGACCTCCACTCACTTCAACAGGTTTAGGATCAGACCTATAATTAGCATGTATAAGTGTAGGAACATATTGTTGTTCTCAACCCTTTCCTTCCATCCTTCTTACTGTTCATTTTAAAACTAATTTGATGAGTTTTATCTTAAATTAGATCCTGCTCCTCCTCACAGGCAGGCACTCACCATCACATGGTGGCCCATTGAAGTCAACAGGACTCTACAAAAGTACAGAGTCCACCTGTGCAGAGCAGCTTGCAAGACTGTAGTCTCTTTGGGGCAGGGACCTTGTCAGTACTTGGATATTATATATAAGGAGATATACCTATCTCATAGAACTGGATAGGATCTTGAGAGGTCATTGAGTCCAGTCCCCTGCCTTCACTAGCAGGACCAAGTACTGACACGTTTTTTTGTTTATTTGTTTGTTTTGCCCCAGATCCCTACCACAAATGCAGTACTAATAAAACCAAACAACGGGAACGACAGTCCAGTGATCAACCATGAATTGCAAGAAGATAGGAGACAGTGGTTCAGGTCTAGAGAGCAGGAACAGGGACTGCAGCCAGAGAATACCAAATAGCAATGTCATAGCTGAAGCAGACTTGATGGCTGAGGAGGAAATAGGAGAACAGGTTCAGGTGACAATCTACACACAAGCCTTCTTGTGGAGGTCAAAGTTATTCTGTGGCTTCACGTTCTAGCTGCACATTTGACATTAGAACTGACCAAAGTGGGTCTAAGGCAAGGGATTCAGATAAAAAAAGAGCACTTCAAAGCCCAAGAGAAGTTTTAGCAACTATCAGAATGGAGCAGCACAGTTATCCTCAAACACAGGATGCTGGAACCAGAAGGGCATGAGGGGGTTAGAACCCCTGCAATAGAAATATTGTGGGATGCAGATCTATGTGTGACCCCATCATATCTCAGAGGTGAGACTGGGACTCAGCTATGTTCCACCCATGTGCAGGGGAGGGGGTGCAGAGATGAGAGCAGGATCCGTAGCAGAGGCTGGAGAGGTCACCATGGTGCATGAGATCAGGCCAGCTGCAGGGGAAGAGGTAGGCCTCCTCAGACAAGCCCAGACCTGTCGTCCAGTCACTGTGGGTCCTGGCAGAGACACTTGGCCCAGACATTCCTCTGTATGAAACTGAGTGTTCGGTATTTTCAACAAGGGACAAACCTTCTGAGTTCTCTGCACTATGGGGTGGAGGCACCAGCCACCCTTAGAAGTGAACCCATAACCCTGAAGAGAAAAGGCTGCACTCCCACCCAAGGCCTCGTGTTACACTTAATGTGGTTCACCTTTACACAAACAAATAGTAGAAACTACCAGGGTAGTTGTGAGGGGTGGAGGCTGGTGCAACTCACTGGGTGCACAAGCCTGGGGCCAGTATTGGGTTCCTCCCCTTGTGCTCCTGCTGCTGCTGCCGCCACCCAGCTAATCATTCCTGGCTGTGATCCAGTCAGAGGAGCAATGAGTGGGGAAGCAAAGAAGGTGCCTGAGTGCTGGCTCAGTAGGCCCTCCTCTCAGTGGCCCCATATACCTTAAAAGTACAACTCCAGGCACATCCCAATTGCCTTCCTTATGCCTCAGCTGAATGCATAAGAACCCAGCTGAGATGTGAGCAGGTATGACAGGGTGGTGAAATATGATACTTGACAGGCCTGTGAAGGTGTATGTTTTCCATTCACAAAGAACAATACATATACTTGTAGTCTACTCTACAGGATTTTCATGTTAGAAAAAGGAAATCAACATCAAATATAAAAGCTCCATGAAACAGAAAGCAAAATGTGCCTCTCGCTCTCTATGAGCCTTCTCAGAGCCCCACCCCCTAGCAGAGAAGCAGGCACACTTCTTCTATTTGAAATATAAGTGCACAGAAGACAATCGCAGCTATATAGTACACCGTAAAGAACATCCTGTAGGACTCCAGCAAACATTCAAGAGAATGTGAGAGACTCCTGAACTTTGAATAACTGACCTAGTAGAATTATCTATCTGGAATGTAGAACGAGTAAAGATAGCTTAATGGCTGATATCTAGCTCAAATAAAAATACTTGAAATTCCCACTCCATAATGAAAAGCAACTCTACAAAGACTGTTGGGAATGATCAACTGGTTGGCAAAATTAATTACAAATCCATCTACAGTCAACAAGTCCTTCATGTCATTTTCCAGCAATTCCTTTGTTTGGCACCGCGAAAGTTTTAATCAGAAATCTGTGCAGTTAAAACCACGGATTCTGCAAACATAACTAGATGCTTTTCCCATAAATGAGTCAGCGCATTCCCTATACAGAATAGTCCCCAAGAAGCACTTGCATCAATGAACATTACACTGTGGGTCAGAGCTATTTTAACTCTCACCTTCTTCCAGCATGGCCAAGCACATGGAAGTCTAACTCACACCACCTTACAAAACCTCTCTGAATATGATCTATAACCTCTCTCTGGCATATAAACTCTGTATTCATATAGGGAAATGTAAACAGGTATCAGGCTTAATCATATATGATCACAGTCACATTTCCCTTCCTAAATCTAAACGCTCTGCTGAAGAACAGGCTTTGCAGGACCTTTCAGAAGGCACAATACAGAATGGAGCCCAGCGAGAATATATTAAAATCCAAAAAGTGTGTGTTCCTCATGTAACAAAATCAAAGATATGCCTGTTACACAGAGCAGAACAAATGGGCCCAGTATATCCAAGGTATTGCCACTATGCTTGTGAGCCAGAAAGCACCTTGAACAGAGAGAGGAAACATGTCAAAATGAACTAAGGCTAGAAAGTCCAGCAGTATTACTACAGCTCTAGTAGTCTGCCTGCTTTCCTCAAGGAACTTTGATATATGAAGCTTATTGTTAAACAGCTCAGGTAGGCAGCCTGTCACCATGGTCTGATTTGCAATTTACACCTTTGAAAAAGCAATATTCTTTTTTATTTTTATTTTTTATTTTTTTGTTCCTTTTAATCGACGTTTCTCATTCCAGTTCCTGGCTGTCACTTTGCTGACAGAATTTAAATTTTGGTTCAGAAGTGTTAAAAGTAACCTGGGCTCATAATGAATCTCAACAGAAAATCCCTACATTATATCAAACAATTTTACATAGATTTGTTCTCAAATTAGAAGTGGGCAGGGTGACTAAACTATCCAGGGGGGACTGGGAATGACTTCTGAATACTGACAAGTCCAACTGTAGACAATCAGGGTTCTGCTGACAGCGGGCTTGAACCTTGGACCTTCTGCATTAAAAGCATAAGTATCTGCTGGGAGAGCTGAAAGACTTACTCTTCTTGTGGGGAAGCTATAGCAGACTCAAACTTCTGTATATCAGGCTCTAGAATGGATCATGCAATGCCTTGAGCTGTGGGTTTTATAGTTACCCTTTATTTACTTATAGTAAAATCAGTTATTACAAAGTCATCTTTCTTAATTTGGAAAAAATGCTGCTTCAATTATTATGTCAATGAAACACCCATGTCATGTTACAGTGTTCAGGTTTGGCATAAGGATACAGGAAATAGATTGTTCCCGTTGATGAGGTGGCAGAGTACGCTAGCCCTTTTCTAAAGTAATTCTAAAGAGTCATCCATTTTAAAGCCAGAAGGGATCGTTGCATTCATCTACTTTGACCTCCTGTACAGTGAAGGACATAGAATTTCTCTCAGCAGTTCCTGCAAAAAAAAACAAAAAACCCCAAACAGTATCTTGTGGTTGATTTTAGAAAGATCTCGAATTGTGGTTTATAAAGACTTTGTGTGATGGAGAATCCACCACATACAAGTAAAAGTGAATCTGGTGCTTACAGCCTAGATTCAGTTTGGGCACATCACAAAACTAATAAAGTCTAACAAACATAACTGCTGGCTAGCCTTTACCCACGGAGATACATAGTACTGGAATACTGAGATCAGGATTAAGATGCATTTGTAGAGCTGTGTGTGCATGCTAAAATGAACTAATAATGATGTAAGGGAAGCCCTTAGAAAATTCTACCACTTTCATGAGTATTAGATTCAGAAGCAAACAACAAATGTTTAAACTATGAGGGGTATCATTTCTAGTTTGGGGAATGTGTATTGGTAGTGCCACTTTTGGCCCATTACTAGGGCCCCAGCTCATGGAGTCATATGATTACACATCACAATCTAAGTTTCCATTAAAAAGGTCTTTAGCCACCAGGGGTGAAAAGAAAAGCTCAGAAATATGACCCAGGTGTAACTGGTGCAGTGACATCTACCTGAGACTGCAGAGGGCCCAAAACAGTAGTTGAGAGGTGTGAACAGCTCCATATGTACAACAGTGGAGAACCCAGCCAACATCACCCCAGCAAAGAACTGTGTGTGGCTGGAGAAAAAGAGTGCATCAGTACTGAACCACCCACCCAAGCAGACATAACCAGATCATGGATGGTAAGCACTACAGTCTCTCCATATCTGCTACCTCTGTCTCGTGGGGGTGGGGAAGAGAAATAGGGAACACCTGCTGCTACTTCTAGGGAGAAAGGGCCTGTGACCCAAGCATGTGTTAATGCCAACTGGCCAAATATATTAAGTGTTGTGATATTAAGCAAAGTACTGAGCCTGAATCATACAAGCTGGTGTGTACACTGTTCCTGGTATTTCTGTGAGAGGATAAGGGGCTGGACACTACAGGGGAACATTTCAAAGGGACTCAGGGACTGGGTGCACCTATTATTAACCTGCAAGGCAAAGTAAGGGCTAGCATTGCCCAGAGGGGAGTGTTTGAGTGGCTAACAGGCTGGTGGTGTTAGGGAGTTGAGACACAGCCAAGCACAAGCAAGACTCCCTCACATGGGAGGCAGGGAGGACAGGGTGAGGAAGAAGACTGTGCTGGTTAAAAATCCAGCATGGTTTAGAGAAGAAGTGAATGTAGCTGTGAAAAATAAAAACAAAAAATAAAAAAAATGTACAAGTGGAAGAAAGGAAGTTGATAGTAATGAATATAAATCAGAAGTTAGGAATTGTAGAAAATTGATAAGGGAAGCTAAGGGACACAAGGCGAAATCTATGGCTAGAGGAGTTGAGGATAATAAGAAGGAGGTTTTAAAAATGTATTAGGAACAAACAGAATCCTGACAATGGTACTGGTCCATGATGAGGTGGAAATGGTAGATCAATAATAATGCAGAAAAGGCAGAAGTGTTCAATTAATTTTTCTGTTCTCTATGGGGAAAAAAACAGATGATGCAGTCTTATCCTATGGTGATAATACTCTTTCAATTCCATTAGTTTCTCTGGAGGATGTTTGATAGAAGCTATTAAGTTAGACATTTTTAAAAAAAACAGGGCCAGATAACTTGCATCCAAGAGTTTTAAAAGAGCTGGCTGAACCACTAATGTTAATGTTCAATAAGTTTTGGAGCACTGGGAAAGTTCCAGAAGACTGGATGAAAGCTAATGTGTCAATTTTTAAAAAGGGTAAGTGGGGTGACCCAAGTAATTATAGATCTGCTAGCGTGACATTATCTTGCCAATGGGCAAGATAATGGAGCAGTTGATACAGGACTCAACTAATAATGAACTAAAGGAGGTTAATGTAATTAATGCAAATCAACATGGGTTTATGGAAAATAGATCCTGTCAAACTAACTTGATTTTTTAAATGATATTACAAGTTTGGTTGATAAAGATAATAGTGTTAATGGAAAATACTTAGACTTCTGTAAGGCATTTGATTTGGTATCACACAATATTTTGATAAAAAAACTAGAATGATATAAAATAAACACGAAGTGGGTGAGGTAATATCTTTTATTGGACCAAATTCTGTTGGTCAGAGAGACAAGCTTTCAAGTTTACACAGAGCTCTCCTTCAGTGCTGTGTAAGCTCAAAAGTTTGTCTCTTTCATCAACAGAATTTGATCCAATAAAAAAATTTTACCTCACTACTTTGTCTCTCTAATATCTTGGGACCGATATGGCTACAGCAACACTACATACATAAAATTAACATGTCACACATTAAACGGATAAAAAAACCATGGAGTGGGTCTGCTTCCAGTGGGGTTCTGCAGGGGTCAGTTCTAGGGTCTAGGCTACTTAACATTTTATCAATAACCTGGAAGAAAACATGAAATCATCACTGATAAAGTTTGCAAATGACACAAACGTTGTGGGACTGGTAAAAACTGAAGAGGATAGTCACTGATTCAGAGCAATCTAGACTGCTTGGTAAATTGGAAGCAAGCAAACTATGCATTTTAATACAGCTAAAAGTAAATGTATGCATCTGGGAACAAAGACTGTAGGCCATACTGACATGATGGGGGACTCTATCATGTGAAGCAGTAACTCAAAAAAGATTTTGGGATCATGTTGGATAATCAGCTGAACAAGAGCTCCCTGTGATGTTATTGCCAAAAAAGCTAATGCAGACCTGGGATGGATAAACAGGGGTTATATTGCCTCTGTATTTGGCATTGGTGCACAGGCCGGTGACAGCAATTCCAGGCCCCAAGGCTGGAGCCAGGCCCCACATAACTGCTAGCCCAGCGTGGCATTGCCACCTGGGCGCAGAGCTGGACCACGTGTGGCAGCTGGTGCACACATGCACAAGCCGCGGATATGGTCTGCCTGACATTTGGATGGTGCTGCACCCGCGCTGGCTGGTACCCAGCGAGTTGCTGCCAGCTGCGCGGATGGGCCAGCTTTTCTGGCATGGCCAGGGTTTCCACGTGCCCGCCCAGCTGCCTTCGCCGCCGCCATTACCACCCCACGTGCGCCTAGGAGCCCTGTGGCCTGCCCAGGTGATTTAAAAGGGCCCGGGGCTCGGCGCCGCGGCTGCGGCCAGGTGCCCTTGGGCCCTTTTAAATCGCCCAGACCCCTGGACAATTGCCCTCTTTGCCCCCCTCGGTCGGCGGGCCTGCTGGTGCAACTGCTGCTGGAATACTGAGTCCATTTCTGGTGCCCACAGTTCTGGTGATAAATTGGAGAGAGTTCAGAGAAGAGTCACAAGAATGATTAAAGGATTAGATAACATGCCTTATAATGATAAGCTAAATAGACTAAGCTCATTGAGTCTAACAAAGGGAAGGTTAAAGGGAGACTTGATTACAGTCTTTAAGTACCTATATGGGGAATAAATATTTAATAATGGTCTTTTCACTGTAGCAGAGAAACGTATAATACAAACCAATGGCTGGAAGGCTAGACAAATTCAGACTGGAAATAAGGCACAATTTTGCAAAGGTGAGAGTAATTAACCATTGGAACAGTTTACAAAGGTCACGGTGGATTCTCCATCACTGACAATTTTTAAATCAAAATTGGCTGTTTTTCTAATATATCTGCTTAGGAATTATTTTGAGGAAGTTCTATGGCCTGTGCTATACAGGAGATCAGACTAGGTGATCACAATGTTCCCTTCTGGCCATACAATCTGTGACTCTAATCGGATAAATAGTCTACACTGCAGAGGGAAGCTGATTACATTCTAAGAAACCCTTCCTACGATACAGTCATAAAAATATACTTCCTGAATCATGAGAGAAGACTGTGCCATGTGTATTTTGTTGTATAATTGCCACTCTACCAGAGTGAAAGTAAGCCGGTATGCCCCAGTTTGCCATACGGGGCGGCCTGGCTTCCCCAGGTGGCAATTAAAGGGCCTGGGGCTCCCAGTAGCAGCTTTAAATTGCTGCCAGAGCCCTGCTGCTGAACCCTGGGGTAGCGGCAGCGGGGCTCCAGGGGTTATTTAAAGGGCCGGGGCTCCCACTGCCTCTACTACCCTGGGCCCTTTAAATAGCCGCTGGAGCCCCGCCGCCGCTACCCAGGGCTCGGGGGCTATTTAAAGGGCCGTGGCGGTAGAAGCAGGGGAGTCCTGGGCCCTTTAAATAGCCCCCAGAGCCCTGGGGTAGCAGTGGCAGCCAGGGCTCTGGCTGCCGCTGCTACCTGGTGGGGGAGGGGGAGGGCACTTAGCGGTACAAGGCGGGCCTGAACTGGCTCTCACCCCCCCCATCCCCGCCCCTTCCGCCCAAGGCCCCGCCCCTTCCTGGGGCCAGAGCTGGCCCCAACCCAGCCCCATACTGGTAAGTCCCTATTTCTACTTTCACCCCTGCACTCTACCCCCATCCCATCATTATCATTGTAGGAATTTTTCAAATAAATGTTTGGTTTATAAATCTTACATCTGGAATAAACTGGTTGTGAGTCTGTTGAACTCGTGCAGAGGCAGGCATCTTACTTTACAGGTTTTGCATTACATAGTTCAGAAGGGTATTTTGGGCATTGGAAGCTACCCGGTGGTATTTCAGTGCCTCATGACACAAAAGATCTTTGATCTGTGTTCTATCAATTGCAGAGGAGGTGTCAATTTTTAAAAGAATGTTGCCTAAGTTGAACCTGTAAAATTTGAGATCTGTGCACCCAGGGCCGGCTCCAGGCACCAGCTTCTCAAGCAGGTGCTTGGGGTGGCTGCTCCGGAGAGGGGCGGC